GGGAGGTAAGAGGAAAGGAAGCAGAATCGCAAGGGGGGCATTTCCCCCCCCCCCCCCCCAATCCTGGGAGTTGTATATGGGTTGGGTGAGATTGTAGAGGACAATGTTGTCTTCAGCAACACTAAGGACTTGGTGTATTCTGCTGCAGAAAATATGTGGTGAATGGGCTAATCTATGCTCAGATGCCTTTACAGAACCCCAGAATTTGGGCTATGAAAGAGATGGACCACTATTGGGTGGCCACTTTACTGCATCCTTGATACAAATGGGAATGGACAATCCACTGCCACCATCCCAGACAAATCCTAGAAAAATTAAGCACTTGATGAGGTTGCAGTGTAAGAACCTCATGGGCAGATTTTTATACATGTGGCAGGATTCCCCCTTATGGCCAACATGCCTCTGATCCCTGAAAGGAGGAGCAGCGGTGGTGGCTGCTGCTTTATCAGTGCTTTATTTTAAACCACAGCGGACAGGCCCATCTGCAGACAGCACTAATAGGCAGCCCCTCAAGCACCTGATTGCCAACTGCATTGGATCCAGTGATCATGTGGACATTCTTAGAAGTGAGGACCACATGGACTATTGGCCAGAACTTGCACAGTAGTCGCTAGAGCTCATGGCTTGCCCTTTAGTCAGTGTGCCGTCTGAGACAGATATCCATCTGTCCTCTGATAGTGTGGACCGGTAGTGCTCTAGCACTGTAAAAGAAGATTCAAGCATAAATAAATATAGGAAAGAAGATTGGTTTGATATATGGGGTACCAAATCTATATATGACTCATCTATACTGAAGTAGATAGAGAAAAGTGACTTTATAGGTACCCAAACACGAATTGTTTTAGCTTAAAACAATATTTAACTTTATTAATAGCACAATAAAACATATTAAAACAGCCCTATAACATATATAGTAATACACTGCCTCAAATGATTTTGATCCCTATCTATCACCTATTCGCTATAAACGATGTTCATCCATATACATCAGATTACATTATGTGTCAGAACATTGTATATTTGCTGAAGAGGTGATGAGCTGGAGATTTTTTTTTGTATGTTTGATGAGCTAATAAAAATAATTATTTTATAAACTATAAAAATATCTTGTATGGGTACCTAAAAAGTCATTTTTTTCTCTATCCACTTCTATATAGTAAGTTTCAAGCTTGAGTAAGAATAATAAACAAATACAAATTCTGAAGGACAAAACATTTTCCAACATCTTCAACATACTGTACTCAGACCATTGAAGTATTGAAGGTAATTTGTAAGTAGTTCAGAGGAGAAACCCATTGCATTAATATGGTTCTTCTATTTGGAGATAATCATTTGGAGAAAGATCAAACATCTTTTATTGCATTTGGTGAAAGATCATTATGTGCCCATTTTCCACACCTAGCGAAGTTCCACATTCACCTGTCTCTAGCAATCACTATTCCCAACCTGTTCTTTCTTTGACAGATTTATAACAGTAATCTTTGCAAACAGCAGCATCTTTCATAACTAGCATATTGTTCATATATTTAATACACTCGAAGAAGGTAACAGAAAGTGAGTAAATCGTTGCAGGGCAGATGAGATTTATGTTGAAAGATTAACCCAATATACATGGTAGTAGCTATAAAATACTTTCTTGTTCTGTGCAGCCAGTCTGATTCTATCAGTGTCCTTTTTCTACAGAACCTCTGTAGACCAAAGAGTGAGCTTATATCCTTTGATGTTGCAATTATTTTTCTCACTGCCATTCCATTCAGAGCGATTGAAGATTTTGCTTTAAGTTGAAGGCAAGGCACCCAAATAAAGACGTAGCTCAGTACAAATGCCCT